CAGGTGGAATCCAGCTGTGCTGCTCCGGAACCACGAGGTGAAATGCCTCACTCCTGGCTTCAAACTGAAAACCTTATTTGAAAGGCAGAGAGGGAGGAAGAAAACAGTATTCCCATCCTCCTGGTTCACTCGCCCAACAAGCACAATGGCAAGGGCTAAACCTGTGCTGAAGCCGGGAGCTGCTCCTGCCTCCAGGAGGTGCGTTGGCAGTCAGCTGGAGGCCAGAGGATCCAGCAACCACACTCGGTTCCTCTGGTGGGAAGTATAGGCAGCTCAGCACGAGGCTGGACATCTCATGCCCAACTTCAAATCTGAACTACCAACTTTGGCATGAGACCTTAAGTGAATTAATCTTCCTGAGGTTCTGTGGTCTCCTTGATAAGACATGAGTATTAGAATTCAGATGAATTAACACAAATGTAAGGAGGAGGCATTTGGCCAAGCCCACGTTCCCTATCAGGGTGCCTGGGACCACTGTGGGCATTTGGTAACTGATCCAGCAAATGGCACTCAGAAATAGAGCAATGCTGAGTATAAAATACACACTGCATAAATCAAAGAAGTATTCCTTAGAAGCACTGAGTTTCATTTGCTACATACTTTCTCTCCCTGCCCTGTTGTCCTGTATGCAGCCGGCTGGCTGCTGCAGAGGAGCGCCAGCGTGCACTCACAGGCTGGGCGGCACCCCAAGCCCCATCACCACAGTCTCTGCCCCCGGGCTCCAGGCTGCCCAGGAGCACTGACAAAATGAACACCACTGATCCCACCATGACCTCTGAAGCTTAAAGAGGCAAAATTAACCCACTTGCTCAAGAATGGCAGTTTAGAACGCCACAATACTACCTAGGTTCCCAAAAGAATTAAAAATACGTAGTATTCACAATTTCCTGTATTTGCTAAATCACTTCAGGGACAATGATGCACCACATTTATTTCCTGAAATGAATAGTCACTCTTATTACAGATACTCTTTCTAGCTCCATGTAACAAACACCAAGGAAATCCAGTAAAATAGATACAATCAGCTCTGAAGTTAAAACTCTTGTCAAGATTTGGGAACAGCAAAAGCCTTTGTAACACTGGTGCTGAGGGACTTCAAGTTCAGCTGCCTCTTGTAATGCAGGCATCCCGCCAGGGGTGGCAGTGCAAGTCTCAGCTGCTCTGCTTCCTTCCAGCTCCCTGCTAAGGGCCTGAGAAAAGTGGTGCAACAGGGCCCAAATCCTTCAGTCCCTGCTTCCCTGTGGGAGATCTAACAAAGCGTCTGGCTCAGCTTGGCCCAAGTCCTGGCTGCTGCCACCATTTAAGGTGTAGATAGGGGTAAACAAGGAAATGAAAAATCTTTCACTTTAAAAAAAAAAAATCACCGGGCCTGCCTCAGTTGTCTAGCAGCTGAAGTCCTCTCTTTGCACACACCAGGATCCCATATGGGGGCTGGTTTGGATCCCGGCGCCCATATGGGATCCCGGTGTGTGCAAGGCAAGGACTTTAGCCACTAGGCTGCCGCACCAAGCCCTGATGCTACCTTTTTAATACTTGACACAAAGTTTCCTAAGTCAATGTCTACAGAAAAATTTCCACATAATGACAAAAATTCACAGATATTGAATAATTCAATGAAAAGGAAAAAAAGAAAAAGTTCTGCTAGTGAAGCCCAACAGTTTAAGCTAGCACCTAGGACACAGGCATGTGAGCGCCAATTCAATCCAGCTCTCTGCTAACGGGCCTGGGAAGGCAGTGGGAGATGTCCAAATTCTTGGGTCGCCATCACCCTGGTGAGAGACACAGATGGAGTTTCACATTCCTGGCTCCAGTCTAAATCAGCTGGGGCCAGCCTGAACCACTGCAGCCATGTAGGGAACGAAGCAGCAGGCACACTTTCTCTGCCTCCTATCCTCCTGTTTCCACAAGCCCCCCAACCACCAATCTTTCAAAGACGACAATTTTTTAGTTGGAGATGAGGAAGACTAAGCAGTCCAGACAGAATTTAGAAGTAACAAACTGAAGAAACAAAACAGAAAAACTATGAGAAAATGTAAACTATTTCAAAATAAGAAGTACTAAAATTTCCAAAACTGAAAAACACAAGACTATCAGACCTACAATGGTAAGATTAAATTTATAAAGAACTGTCATTAACATGCATCACTCACTCCCCACATACGAAACACTGTTCTAAGTGCTTTCTAACTCACTGATTCTCAAAACCAGTATTAGACACAAGTGACAACACTATTCTAATTTTGTATAATAAGAACTCCGGAAAAAACATTTGTCCAATGTCATCAAGCTGCTAAATGGTAAAACCAAGATTCAAACCCAAGCAATCTAGTCACAGTCTTTGGTCAAACCAGCAAGAATTCATCTTTATTCCAGATGTCTGACTATGGCTCCATACCCTAGCCCTACCGTGAGTGAGTGACTGAAGAGCCACGATGACAGCTCTACTATGAGTTCAAGGTGAGGAGAGAGGCAGTTAACCACATGAGCAAGCATCTCCTCAGCCTAATGGAAATACACAAATCTCTCAGGGAAACAGGAGTCCTTCTGTAGCGTCCTTCTGTAGAGACCTCACTTGCGTCCACTGGCAACTAAGTTAGTACTAAGTCCAAATCTGGGAACCAGAACTTCATAGAAATACTCTTCTATCTGAAAAGATTACCTTACAACTGATTCAGAATGTTTTTATTTCAAGATGCTAATCAAAAGGTAAATGAAACATCTACAAATACTTAAAGAACACTCACATTCAACGCACGAGAGAAAGCAGGCTTTCAGCAACTTACAGGAGGGCATAGGAAACGCAGAGAACACAGGCCTATTAAAGGTCAGGTCTGCGGGTCTGACGTTCACTGCAGCATGTCTATAAAGGCATTCAGCACTTAGGCTACAGTGCACGCTCACCACACTCCAATCACAGGCCGACTATTCAAATCAACACATTTCCAACAACAACTGCTGGGCTGCATGCACTAGGTGTGGATGGCACGAAGGTGTGAAGAGAACAGCTCCCCTGTTTGGCAGGGCCCGGCGGATTTTTCTCTGCCACCTTCACCCAGTCTCACCCCCTTTTTGCATGGACACTCAAGCACCCCACTAAGAATTCTGTAATCTATTGAGGCATTATTTGCCCCTGTGAGATGGCTTTTGCAACCAACATGAGCTTGGGAGCCTTTAATTGCACACAGGAGTACAATTAACCCATGCCGTTTCTGGACACCTTACTGTGTGCCTACCCATTGCCCTGAAATCTGGCCCAGACATACAGCACGCCTTCTGGGAAACGGCTTGATAAGAATTTTACAAAGTAATGGAAGTGAAGGGAGTATGAGTGGAAACTGCTATGGCAAAAATATAGTTACTGTGACCTTAAAGGATAGACTGTCCTTGCAACTCTTTAGAGCATAGAAAATGTGGTTGTTTTAGTTGCTTTCATAATTTTTTAACTACAGGAAATATGGGGAGATTTTATTAACATCACAGAGATATACTTTTAATTATTGTTTGATTGTTTATGAGGTTGTAGAACCTGCAGTTGTAGGAGGATTTAATGTTTGAACCTTTTTGTCTTAGAACTTTGTTTTTTCTCTTTTGTTGTATTTCTCCCGTAAGTGACAGATAAGTTGTGAAAATAAAACGTAGTAGGAATGTTTCACTGATTAGCAGGTAACCATCTGTGCCTTGGCCTTGGAGTTCTGGCTGTCACCTAATGGCTACTTCTGAAGAATGAATAATGGCTTGCTTTAAAGAAATTACAGTAACTTACAGGATTATCTTTAAGAGCACCTGGTTGACCATGAAGCAAAAATTAATTGAACATCTGTGCATGCTGGCTTAGTTCTGAAGTCAAAGATAGTACAATCAAATGTCTGCGCAGAGGCTTGTGCTGTGTCTGAGTAAATAAACAGGACAGCTTCTTCTTGAGTTGTGGCAAAAAGGCACCAGTGCCTGTGTCTTTTCTTACCTCCGACTCCACGCACCCTTTTCGAGCTCCGAACTCAGCTGGAGCTGGACTAAGGCACACAACAATAACAACAACAACAAATCCTCCCTCCAAACAACTTTGGATACAAAAATTTCCTAAGTGCCCAGGTGTACAGTATTATCAGATAAAAGAAACAAGCCTAAACCTTCCAACAGCAGCAACAAAAACAAATAGTTGGACATTTACAAACTATACTAATAAGAATGATCAAAAATAATAAATAGGGCCCGGCGCGGTGGCGCAAGTGGTTAAGGTCCTCGCCTTGCACGCCCGGGATCCCATATGGGCGCTGGTTCTAATCCCGGCAGCCCCGCTTCCCTTCCAGCTCCCTGCCTGTGGCCCGGGAAAGCAGTCGAGGACGGCCCAAGGCTTTGGGACCCTGCGCCTGCGTGGGAGACCTGGAAGAGGCTCCTGGCTTCGGATCGGCATAGTATCGGCCCGTTGCGCTCACTTGGGGAGTGAATCATCGGATGGAAGATCTTCCTCTCTGTCTCTCCTCTCTGTATATCCGCCTTTCCAATGAGAAAATAATAAAAATAAATCTTTAAAAAAAAAAAAAAAATAATAAATAAAGATAAAAGAATTGTCAAGGGGGAAAAAGAAATCAACAATGCATTATAAAATACCTAGAAAATTTAGAACCAAATATTGCTAAAATTCAGTCATTCATGTCAAATGCAAGCTTTTATTTTATTAAGGTCTTCTCTCCCAATGTGAAAGAAGCACATTGATACAAAATCTTCAATTTTTTTCACGACTTCAGTTGTATGTTTTCATTACGCAACACTATAGTAGTACTAATTTCTAAACTGGCAGTATTCCCTAGTGTAAATGTCAAAGTCCTATCAACTGATATTTTGGTTCACTAAAATGAAAAATGATGACTAACAAGAGAAAATAATAAAACCTTTAAAAGTATAAATTCCTGAGTACTGTATGTATAAAAGACCTAGATATTTTAGTATCTGCATCCAGAGGCATATTACTCACAAGACTTGCCCTTTTCTCAAGGACTTACCTTCTTTTTATCCCTCATTGAGCCTTTGCCTCGGACCATTATTTTACATCCTGTTTCCGCTTCAAGTTGCTTAGCTGTAAGCCCTCTAGGTCCAAGGATCCTTCCAACAAAATTAAACTAGGAAAAAAAAAAAGCCAACACAAATTATTCATTTGCAAGAATTTACAGTTCTTCAATTACATTCAGGTATGTGCGGATATATGTATTTCATTTATACTTAAGTTAACAACTTTTTTAAATCCTAAGTTGAAATGACAGCTACAGTCTTTACAAATTTATTTCAACATCACTATTGTTTTGACCACTTTTAGCACAACATCCTCATATGCATTAATAAAATACAGTATGAATCAGCAGCGACAGTACAGCTAGAACAGATACCATAATCAACAAGTCATCTAAACCAGACTACAGTAAAGACTTTGATCAACTACCAGTTGCTACTCAAGAATACAAATCCTTCCTAAAAACACCCAAAATCCTGTTAGGAATTGAAGGTGCTAAAGAGGTTGTTTATTATGTTACATACTGGCTGCCCTTTAGACGGAAATCCTTGGGGAAAAAATTCTCTTATTCATTTACAGAGGAAAGCTACACTTTGTCCAAACCTGTTCTCAGGGAATTGCTAACACACAAGTCTGGGTTACATCAAAACACCTAGGTCAAATGTGGATTCGACCCTGTGCTAAATTAATACAAAAATTTCATCATATTCTGTGCACAATTTTATGTTTTCTCTTATCCATATCTACTTTTATCTTGAACTATTTTTTACCCAGAAAAGTCTTTTTACATTAACAGGACAGTGATATAAGTAACTGGATAAACAGAAAATGAACATCCCTGAAGAGAAATTTCTGGTGTTTTTATATATTCAAGTTTAAGACAAAAGCAGTAACAAATTGATTCTGAAACTCAAAAGTGTGTTTTATTTGCATAAAATGCAAAATTATTTACATATCAATTCCACAAAAACCCATAGGTGACTTTCCTCACTCCTCTTTCAACACCATTCTGCAAAAAGGCAAAGCTGCCAGGGCTCTGGAAGCAGGTTCTTCGGGCCTCAGCACTCTCCAAGGGCAGGAGCGCACACCCAGGGGTCATCTCAACAAAGGTCCCGGCTCTCAGCAGATCCCAGCACCTCCCTTAGCCCAAGGGCAGGAGCGCACACCCAGGGGTCATCTCAACAAAGGTCCCGGCTCTCAGCAGATCCCAGCACCTCCCTTAGCCCAAGCGGGAGAGGAACAGCATTTTATCTTTACCACAACAGCCCAAATACTGAAACTTTCACCCAAATCAGCCCTTCATGGACAACTTAAATTGTTGCATTTCCTCAACACACAGGACTTTATCTACCTCTTTATCCAAACTAAACCCTCACTGTATCCATTTCAACAAGAACCTTACTTACAGTGGAGAGCCCCAAGTCAATGTGGCCTTCCCAAGAGGCCAATTTGAATAAAATCAAGGTTTAAACTCAGAAAGTACATTTATTCCGGCTTGCAGTTAACTCTAAGAAAGATTTATAACAAATTCGAAAGTTAGATCAAAGAAACCACAAATATAAAACAAGGATGAAACTCTGGTAAAGCCGCCATGCCAAGTCCCTGGGTGTGTGTATGCACACTGAGCACCACACATTAATGCAGACCAGCAGAATCTGGCACATGACCGAGAATCAAGAGTGCACCAAAAACTCAGTGTTAGCTTAGAATGACACAGAATGAGATGGAGCACTAACCAAATCCAGACAGGCTTGGCTTGAGGTTCAGACACCAAGAGCTATAGAAACCAAGATGGAAAACATACACAAGACAACTGAAAATCCCACCCCAGAATATCAAGAGCCAAGTAAGTTTCGTGCACGTAGCAGGCTACGGTTACATTAGCTAGAAAACAGTCAAGAATACAGACAGCATGAGCCCTGCTTGTGAAACATGACTGTTTCTGGCAACCAGCTCCAATCAACACTGGCTGTGGACAAATGCCACTGAGGAACAAAAGCCCCTAATTCAAACTTCCATTGCTTCACATGTCAACATGAAAAGTTTAGAAGGGTACTAACAGGAAAACCATGGTACAACCAAGATAAAGGGGTAAGACAATGCATCATCCTTGAAGAAAAAAACACTCCATTGGGTAAAGAGTGAAACATAACAATAAAAACCTAGCACCATAGTAAAAATAACTCTTATAAACTAAATCACTTTAGAAATAATGTAAAATCTAAAAGGATGTTGATTGCCTCCAGGAAAATTATTAGCTCACGCCAAATATCTACTGTTACTAGAAAACCAAGAGTTTCACTTCTTGAGAAAATTTCGAGTTTAGATGCAATCTCTCAAAGTCCCTAGACCTCCTAGTTAACTCCTAACTCCTACTGTACACATCTATTATTTTGGCCCACAAAGTAAACACCGGGCAGTGTAGTGGAGATTCCAAACTGACAAACCACAGCTCCAAATCCCGAACGTCAGAGCTCTCTCCAGGCAGCCCTCTATGTATTCAACAAACACGGGGGGGGGGGGGGGGGTGTTCAAAGCCAATATTGATCTTTGATCACCTGACGATCAGAAACTAGTAATTTACAATCTTGCTTCTTGGAACTCTGATGTATTCGAGCAGATTTTCCCTCACTGTGTCCTATTATACCTAAAGTGCTCACTGGTATACCTACCTTGCCAATCCTTAACACACACAGTCGGTCACCATTTTTGAAGAAGCTGCCTTTTAATGTAAACACAAAAGTGACATAACAGCAAACAGAATGGGATAATAATTGGATTGAGGGATTCAGGAAAAGGGAAAAAAAAATCACAGAGAATCCATCAACATGCCAGGCCTTTTGCATCTCCATTAAGCTCTTCCCCTGCTTCTCTGCAATTTGGAAACTTATGATAAATGTATTAAGATACTGGATAAAACTTTATTCCATCCCCCCTGAAAACAACCTGAACAGACAGTAACCACCATTCACCTCTACTCACATTTTGTTTCATTTCTGCATCTTTCAGTAGAATGAAAAACAGGCTTTAATCCTCAAAATCAAGTCAAAATTTTTATTTAAGGCTTACTAACTGACAAGGAGTGAAATCAACCCATAAACAAAGAAGCTTCCTGATCTCCACAAGTCTGTGAAAATACTTACACTCTCTACTTTTCACTCTGAAATGCTTTTGTAAAAGGCTGATTCGCTTAGTTGAAGGTCAGTCACAGAAAAAGCAGGGAACACAGAGAGACACAAAGAGATGGCGAGCAAGAACAAAGGACATCTTCCACCTGTAGGTTCACCCTCCAAACGGCTGCACCAACTACAGCTGAGGGACGCCAGGGCCAGACTACACTTTTAGGTCTCCCACATGAGCACAGCATCCAGGGTACATAGGCCATCTTCCACTGCTTTTCCCAGGCCATCAGCAGGGAGCTGGATTAGAAGAGGAGGAGCCAGGACTCAAAATAGCACCCATGGGGGATGCTGGCACTGCTACGCCACAACAGTCCCTATTTTTGACAATTTCTAATTTTTGACAATTCCTACTCAGCTGCTTTTTAGTAACTGTTGTGCTGTACACAGAACTTTGTCCAGATAAATTCATTTACTAGATGAACACCATTTACCTCAAACATGACAAAAAATATCTAGAAATGCATGATGCGAGTACATGTTGGTTCCGTGATCAAGCTGCCAGTCACGTGACATACATACCACAGCGGAACACCCAAGTCAGAAACAGGGCTCCTTGCTGAAGTGACTTTCTGCCACCAAAATGAAAGCTCTAGGTTGAGTTTCTAGTTTCCAGCTGTGGCAGTAAATTAGCTGATGGAAACTCTGTCTCATTCTATCTCCCAGGTAAGTAAGCAAATACATTATTAAATGCATTATGACTGGAGATTATTTAGTACATGAAATAATTAGCATGTTAATTGATTTTGACCTGTACCAGACCAGTTGGTCTACACTACAAAGTTTCTACCACAGCTCATCTATCTGCACAATTTCTACTTACTTACCAGAAGCATGTTAAGCCGGCTAAAGCCAAAATATTAAATCCGTGACTAAATTTTCCTAGCCTTAAAAATGAACCAATTGTTAACTGTCCTCAAGAACCAACAGACAACAGCTCAATATGTTGAAATACAACTGGGACTGTCAAGGTCAGCCTTTGCAAAATGTGGCAAGTGGAGAATGAAAAAAATTAATCATACCATCTGCTTTGTCTTGTGCAACCAATTTCCAAGTTAATATCGTTTGCTTTGCACTAAAATCCATTCTGTATTGATTTATCATGCCAGTTCTGCAGTTTTATTCAATTAAAACAATGTCACACACTTTCAAAGCAACCAGAGCTAAGTTCAACTTTAAAGACCAGAAGAAGGGAAAGAGAAAAGGAAAAAAAAAAAAAAAAGACTTTCATTAACCCCACTGTTTAAATATAGAGCTTCTCTGTGGCTCACAATTGTATTTCTACCAAATGGCATGCTAATTTCCAAAGAAGACATTTAACCACCATATCTAAGGTTAAATACCAGCACTCCATCTTACAAAGAAACAAAACGACACCCTTCTCCCAATGCAAAAAAAAAAAAAAAAAAAAAACCCACCTTAGAACATCTTCTCAGTAACATTTTTAAAGATAACACCTCCAATGACACACTGTTAGGATGATGGAAAACTAATGGTAATATTCTCAAAGCATCTCAGAACACTTCTCAGAATTTTGAAAGAGTAATTCCTGGTTAAAATTTGGGGCGAAGGGAAAGCAGCAGCAGATGGCCCAAAGCCTTGAAACCCTGACCCACGTGGGAGACCAAACTCCTGGCTTCAGCTCAGCTCCAGCCAGTGCAGGCATTTGGGGAGTAAATCAGCAGACACAAGATCTTTCTGTCTCCTCTGTAAATCTGCGTTTCCAATAAAAATAAATAAACAAATATTTTAAAAAGGGGGGGGACATATGAAATTTGCAATTCTATTCTTCTCTATAAACTAGATTGATACTACCCTTATGTCCAAGATTTCTAACATGATGTTAGTAGATACCTTACAAACCTTATCAAACAAACAACAGGGCAAGCATGAACACCACAGAGAAACCTATGTCTAACGTATACTTGGGGTG